CCCCCACACCCTCCCCAGCCGCTCCCGCCTCGCCCGCCCCCGACTCCCCTCCTCCGCCTCCACCTCCGCCTCCTCCTGCTCCTGCCGCCGCCGCCGCGGGCTCCGGGGCCGACCAACCCCGGCGCAACCTTTAGCCAGAGACGGACCTCTCCCTGGATCCTGTACCCGGCGGGCGGCCGCGCGCCCTCGCCCAGACACCCCCAAACGCCATGTCACGGCCCCCAGCCATCCGCGCGGCCCGACCTCCGCACCCTCCAACACGGGGAACCGCAAGGAATTTTTTTTAAGATTCCAACCTCTCCCCCAACCCCCGATAAAAATCCCGGCATCCACACTACTCCCCACCTCTCTTCTCGCGCCCCCTACCCCCAGCAACCCGGAGTGCGGAGGGGAGGGGGAAGGAAAAGGGAAAAAAAGCCCGATCCCAAGGAAAAAAGAGGGGGGGTGAGAGAAAGAAAGAAAAAGAGAATAGAAAGGGCACGGGGCTGATCATCACCAACATGGCTGCCTCAGCATAGACCTAAACGAGGAGTAACCCGGGCTGTGTCTTTGTCAGTTTCACCTCTGTAACCCTAAACTAATGCAGAAAACAACGGAGGAGGCTGCGGAGGGGAGAGAGGAGAGGGAGGGCGAGAAAATGGCAAGAGAGGAGGTGGAGAAGGGATGACTTACGTGAGGGAAGGCGCTTGGGCTGCTCCTGCTTCCTCCTGGGCATTTTCCCCCTTTTCTCACATTCTCCTCCTTGGTTAATGTGAGATCAAATAAACCCCCGTGGGGGCAGAGAGGCAGACACTGGCAGGAGCGGGGAGGTAGTTGGGGGGCGGACGGGCGGGCAGGGGGAAACCCCTTCTCTCCGGTGTGTGCAATGGGTTGAAGCTTGTTTCCTGGAGCCAGAAGAGGGGTTTTCTTCTTTTCTTTCCTTTTTTTTTTTTTTTTAATTTTTGGTCGTGCACCTGGCTTGTCCCCGAGCGTAATATTCTTCAATGGAAACGGATCTAATAGGTGTGAGTGTGTGTGTGTCCTATGCTCGCGTGTGTGATGGGAGGTATAAATAAATGAGTGCCGGTGCGGCGGTGTCTATGGCCGCGCTCTGTGTCTCCGAGCCCCTAACACTAATGTCGGGATCAAAGGGCAGCGGCGGCGGCAGCACAGCTCACAGCTCGCTCTCTTGCTCTCTCTCTCTCTCTCTCTCGCTTGCTCGCTCTCCTCTCGCTCTCTCTCTGTCACACACACACACTCACACACACAGAGGCACAGACTGAGGGAAAGAGCTAGACACACACACATACACAGAGAGCAAAGAGGAAGGTGCCCTAAGGCTCCCAGGGCGGACTCAGCCTCGGATTTGCAACCGCTCAGTCTGGAAAGAATGGGGGGCGCGCGTGCGGGGGTGGGATGGAGTTCTTCGAATTTATCACGCTACTGGCCAAATCGAGGGGGGAGAAAGTTTTTCCCACTCTTTAAACAACGATTAGTTCATTATTCTTACTGGTTTTTAAAAGTAAATAGATTTTTCTCTTAACTTTGTTTTGTTTATTAAGCTACATTTTGTTCTGTATAAAATTCACCAGGCTTTTGTCACCAAAAGAATCGCTCTCTCACCCCATCACCTTAAGTTTCTGAAAGTTGTAGTCTCCCACACACTCTCCAAAAACATTCCAATAAAAATAATGTTAAAAATAAAAAGATAACATATGGTGAAATCAATAACTAGATTGACGGAATAAGTGCCCGGTTTTGGAGTGCCCAGTGAAGTTAAAACTGAAAAATACTGCCTAAATGAAAATTACAGCTCCTTGACAAAGGGGGAAAAATAAGATTAGGTCACCCCTGATGGTTGATTTAACTGCTACATGATACTCCTACAGTGCACACAGCAATCTTGACTTTTGAAATTTGCTTTTTTTTCCTGCTCTAATGCAGGTATATGACGCTTACCCTGAAGCAATTCCAGTGTGCATTATGAGCCCAATATAGCAGTTTTCATTAACTGATACATACTTTCATTACTTTACAAATCACACATCTTCCTTCAAAGAGAGACATAAAGGGGAAAGATAGAAAAGGACGGGTCTCACTCTAGCACAAAAGGCACTTGGTGAAAGAGGACTGTTCTCTTTGTGACTTGCAGTCATTTGGATAAAAGTTCACTCAGAGGTTGTTAATGATTTAAACTCCAAAACCTGCTACTATAATTGAAGCAGAAAATGGTCTGAAGAAGAGTTGTTTCATAAAACTCTCTTTGTAAGAGGAAACTTTGAACTTAGCAGAATACATTATATGTCATGAGTCAGATGTGGCTAAAAAATAAAAAAGGTGCATTATTTAACTACATCTTCCCTTTTTAGCTTTTTAAAAACTCTGACTCATCATCTTATTATGTTAAATATTTTCCTATCAATTCTAAAATAGAATTTTTTCGCCAAAGTAGGTAAAGGCACAGTGAAGATATAGAACAGTAAATGACACTATATTCACTTACATGGATAACTGATGGTTCTTTGATGTTCTGACTTAATTCTCACAACTCCAGTGGTGTGTTAATGAGGGCCATGGGGGTTATGTCCCTACACACCCCTTAAAAAATAACAATAAGTCTTTATATTGAACACTTTTGTTAGAAAAGCTTAAAGTGTGCTGTATCTCCCAGAAGATGTTTTTCATTGATAATGAAATCTCAGGATAAACCCCTCCCTGCCAACTTCCCAAAAGATCTAGTTTACCTGTGACAAGTAATGTTATCTGAAGCAGGTTCTGAAACACCTACTTGATTCCAGTCAAAACCCAGAGTGGAGAATAGTCAAGTTGAAAAGGGAACATCATCTAAACCAATTCTTCCTCGAATGTTGGTTTAAGAAAATTGATAGTTAAGTTTTGCTGTGTTAGAATTTGAAATAGGACTATCTTTCACATCAGATCAAACTCAATTTGCCAGGCCTTCGAATATTCTCCATCGCTTTGGACTTGAAATTAATGTCATTGTTGTTGTTAGTTGTTATTGAGTCAGTTCTGACTAGTGGCCACCTCATGTGCACAGTAGAACTGCTCCATGGGGTTTTCAAGGCTGTGACCCTTTGGAAGCAGATCTCCAGGCCTGTGTTCCGAGGTGCCTCTGGGTGGGTTCCAGTCGGAGCCCATTCATTCCAAATAGACTCATTGCCCTGAGTGAGCAGGATCTTTAAACCTAACAAGGGGTAAACAGAATGGTCACAGCACTCCACCACTGCTCCCTCGGAATCTTTGCCTAGAATGTTGAGGATTATTATTCTGTATAGACATACCAACACATTTTCCTGAATTGCTATGACTCTTTACAATGCTTTAAAAAAAAAACAAACCCATAGCCCCTTGCCGTCGAGTCAATTCGAAATCATGGCGACCCTCTAGGACAGAGTAGAACTGCCCCATAGTGTTTCCAAGGCTGTAATCTTTACAGAAGCAGACTGCCACATCTTTCTCTCGTGGAGCGGCTGATGGGTTCAAACTGCCAACCTGCTGACCTTTCGGTTAGCAGCCGAGCGCTTAACTACTGCAACTATAATTGAAAACACACTTTAGGCCCTTCCTCAAAGCAGAGTACAGTTCCTGGGGCCTTTTACAAGCATAGGGCAAATGCTATCAGCTTTTATTGTGTATGTGATCTATCAGTAGCAGAGTTTTTTTGTTTTTTTTAATGAACTTGTTTATACCTCTACCTCTTTCCAAAAATAATTTGAAATAGTATACAGCAATAGAAAATGGAAATAAGGACAGCCTAGTTTCTGTTTAAATCTCAGGTTGGTATCTCTCCACTACAAAGCACTCTTCAAGGGCGCATTCTCTCATCCACAATTGCTGAATCCTCAGGAAACACAAGCTAATTTTAATGTTAGACTAATCTAAACTATCAGGAAGAGAAATAGCTAGAGATTACTACAATGGATTTCAAAATCAAATTAATAATTTCAGGAATGTACACAGTTTGGATACACATACACATGAACCATTGGTTTGGATTATTGTTGACCATAGTCATCAGATTGAAATTCTCAATTTGACTCACCCCCATGGACCAAGCTTTTAAAAGCACATTTTATCTTAATAATTATAGTACTCCTTCCGCCCCCATCTCCATCACCTCTCAGATGTGAGATTAAAATAGATTTTCTCAAAAGTGTTCATTCTAAAAAGATGCTTCATAAACACCCACATCCGCAGGAGTAAGTTCTATCCTAGCCCAATTATTGCTAAGGGTGGATAGATAGACGGAACTCTTCTCCTAGAATAGCATTCAGCCAAGTGTGGTCTGCAGAGGTGTCCACGTGGTGAAAACTGTCTTCATAATAGTACTAAGATGTTATTTGCCTTTCTCTCTGTCTTGACTTCTGCACTGATAATGCAAAAGCAATGGTGGGTAAACCTGTTGGTACCTTAGCACAATCAAGGCAGTGGCACCAAAATGTATTGGTAGTCACTCTGTTTTTCACCAAAGTGGGGCAGAAGGAGGTTTATTTAAGAATGTCCTTGATGAAGCAGTAAAAAATTATTAATCTTATTAAATCTCTACGCTTGTGTAGAAGACTTTTTAATATTCTTTGTGACCAAATGGTAGGTACATATAAAGTACTTTGCTGCATACCAAAGTACATCAATTGTCTCAAAGAAAATCACTTTTCAGATTGTTTGAAATAGCTGCTTTTTTCATGTGTTTCTCAAAAAATGAATGAAGTAAGTCTGTAATTTCAAGGAAAGCAATGGAGAGTACTTTTTGACAATGATATTTGCACTTCCAAGTGAAAATTAGAATTTTAGATAACTTATATCCATTACTGTGAGTTTAACAGCTTCCTAATACTCAGAGATTTTTCTGATGATACGGGCAGTAATATTAATAAATGTGGCTTTTTGATACATTTTGGAAGATCTGCATACCTCAGTGAACCAATATTTTCCAAATGACCAATGCATGATGCTGTAAAATCATGGTATAGTAAAAGATCCATTTAAAGTACAGGATAGACCAATGGATTTTAATGTAAGAGAGTATGAAAAGCTCATTGATATGATTTCAGATTCCACATTGTAACTAACTTTAAGAAACTACCCATTCATCAAGTTATGGTGTAGTATCAAAGAAGAATATCCACAATTATCTGAAAAGGCTATTAAAATACTACTCCCTCTTCCAATTGCATATCTGGGTGAGGCTGAATTTTCAGCATGTCCATATTCAACCAAAGCAATATGTCACAGCATATTGAATGTGGATGAAGATATGAGAATCCAGCTGTCTTCTATTAAGCCAGACTTTAAAAACATTTGCAGAAATATAAAACAATGCTACTCTTCTCACTAATTTTTTTTGTTTTGAAAAATATAGTTATTTTTCATACAATATGTTACTTGTATTGAGTTTATTAATGGATTGACATAATAGTCAAAACAATGGACTCAAACATACCAATGATCATGAAGAGGGTACAGTACCAAGCAATGTCTTGTTCTATTATACATATGGTCACTGTGAGTTGGAGCTGACTCTATGGAAACTAACAACAACATTGAGTTTATTATTGTTACTTATAAATGAATTAAAAAAAAATTTTAATTCCACAGTTTTAATGTCAGTATCAATACAGTCAATATAAATAGACATAGCCCACATAAGCAAGAGCTCTTTGGAGTCCTCAACAACTTTTAAGAGTGTTAAGGAGTCCTGATTTCAAAAAGTTTGAGAACTACTGCCCTAGAAATTAAGATGCAGTTAAAGAGAAAAAAGAACTTCCAGGGATGTCTTACTAGAGGTCTCAGAATCCAATTGTAAATAAGCTTACCCTTCCCATAAAATGAAGGCCAGTTATCCCTTGGAACTGAGAGTTGGTTCTGTATACCCCCAGCTGGGCTCCCCCAAAGAGATCCCTTATGAGATGCAGGGAGAAATGGGTGTCTATTCAGTTTTGGAAAGGGCTGTTTAGCCACGCAGGGAGGCTGATTACTCTGAACAGAGAGCCCAAGTCTCTTCTGGCTTCCAGTTCTCTAGGAAAGTAAAACCAGAGGATCCCTCCCCTCTCCCCAGGCCTGAGCAATCTGCCTCAAGAGTTAAGGCAGGGACACTCTTTAGCCCAAAGTTGCTCCAAGCCTGACATTTTAAATAATGAGTGCTTGTCCCAAAGCATAGATAGGGGTCTGGCATCTCGCCTGGCCTGGACCTCACGTGTTGTAAATCAGTATCTGGTGACGATGACCAGCCATACTTCCCAGATGGGGAAGCTT